TTTGATAGATTCTACCTTCAAACAGATACTTATTTGGATATAGAACCATAGAATCACAGAATAGTAGAGTTGGAAGGGCCATAAGGCCAATGAGTCCAACCCCCTGCTGTTGCAGGGCACCAAGTTACACCATCCCACTTTCTTGAAGCCTGTGTATAATTGCTAGTAAGCTGTATTTTAATACATCTGCGTTTCATATGTCTTCACTGCTAGGGCTATACACAAATCCACTTGTATTTAAAAGAGAAAATTTCTTTCTTCTAATTCTACACATGTATATTAGGATGACCAGGTGTCCTCTTTTACAGAGAACAATCCTTTATTTGAAGGCTACTAGAAGATGATACTCTATTTGAAGGGATCCTCTGTTTGAATGGTGGTCCAACTGCAGTCTGAATTAAAGATAGTGAACCATAAGAACCGCTGCTCATCCATAGTTAGCACCTGGAGAACAGACTCAACAGGAAGGCAGGCAAGTCAACCAGTCATAGAAGTCTAGTTACAGTAATGTGTACTGTACATGGTCCTGTATTTTTATAAAAATTATAATTATTTCTAAATGTGGATAAAAAATTCTAAGTGCACCTGTAACATGTAAATATGAACATGTTATACAAAGCACTGCCCCCCTTTATCCTCTTTCTGGTAATGTTTGTCTTGTTTTGGGAGTGATTTATAGGTGACCACCCAAGTGCATCTTGAACGACTGGAAGTCTTAATAATGGGAAACGATAGGGTTACATTTTAAGTTTTCATTATACTGGGTTTGCGTTAAAGGCTCCACATTCCAACTGTTCTTGTATTTGACTTTCAAATACCTTATCGATTCTATTTGCTTTTTCTTCAGTAAGTGGCCTGTGATTCACACCTACTAAGATGAGAAGACTCCACACAAACTCTCAGTTTTACTCATTACTGGTACATAGCAAGACCTAACTGTACTGAAGTTGCAATCATCCTGCATGGTTAATTTAAGAAGTGAATTAGCCCAAATAAAGCCTAGCATGAGTATCAGTCAAGGTGGAGGGCAATCAAAACTTGATTCATATGGTACTGCTTTCATTCTGTCCTCTTATGAATTCCAACTGAGTCCCCAGGAGATCTGAAGTTTGAATGAGCAAAGGCATGGAAACTATTAGGGGATATTTCCATTGGCTTGCAAGCATTTTGGACTGTCTTATATATCCAGTATCTCCATGATTCATTAAAGGAAATGTCCCAGGGTGTTGAAACATCTAACATGTTGAAAACATATGACACATCCAGTTTACAGAATAATAGCCATTCTCATGTTTCCCTGTGAAGATGTTATGCAACTGTACTCTCCACATGACTGGGTTAAGGAGAGTATAGAGATCTCAGGTCTCATTATATTCAGCAAGGTTCTGAGTGGGTTTCATTCATTCATTGCTGTCTCAGTACAGACCCTAAAGGATTGTCTGGTCCGTGAATTGTATACTGGCACAAAACTGAGCTCTTTCCCCACAACAATATAGGAAAAAAGTCAGAGCTCTGCTCCAGGATTAAGTGCTTCACTTCTTGAGCAGAGCTCTTTATCAGGAGAAAAATCGCAATGGTTCGGTATTCTGCCCAAAGAAGTATCTTTCCACATCTGTTACAATGATTGTCTTATAACTAGTTCTGTGCCTTTTTGTTCTGCCCAGACTGACCCCTGTGTTTTCATGTTGGAAGTGCTGAACAGAAAGAGGAGCAGGAGGACAACAGAAGGACACCAGCAGGGCTAACCCTACTTTTAGGCAAGATGCAACAGCAGCCTCAGACAGCAGATATTGAGGAGGTGGTGAAATGGAGGGTGGACCTGTTTGTGCCACACAGCTTGACCCAAGCTCCCTTAGCTAGCTTGCTGCTCTCGAGCACAGTGGAGGATGCTGTCCCACTACCAAAGTCTAAGTAAGTTGGAACTGCAAGTCTGGTTGCCTCTCATACATGGAATGAAGAGAGGTGCCATTTTATATTTGGATCCAGGAAGCAAAATTTTCAGCAAGTCCATGGACATATACTGGACCAACTATAGTCCAACTACAAAGTACAAATTGTGCTTATAGTATTCCTTCCTTTCCTCCAGCCCTGAAGTAAAACAGGCCAGTCTTCTAGAACATTCCTTTACACAGTGCGGCAGAAACCAGGAATGGTTTCCCTTCAGGGCTGTCTCTGCTTAAGTGAGAAATGGATCCCCACAATAATAGGAAGCAGGGAGCAAAAGAAAGAGAAAGAAAAGAAACTTATTTTCTGCTGCATATTCTAGATTGTAAAAATCCAATCAGTAAGCCTTCACCATAGGAAAGGAACATCACTCAATGTTGGAGCATCTGCTTTGCCTACAGGAGGTGTTGTGTACAGCTTTGATACTAATTTGTCCACCCTCTCCTCTCTGGGCAGCTCCCTACGTCTCCCCAACACACACACACACAAAGTAAATGTTGATTTTAATAAGGATCCTCTGCCCATCTGGAGAAGCTTACAGGGACCTGATGTGGAAAAGGGGAAAACAGGAAATCCATCTTCCATCCACCACTTTGACCGGCTTTTGCCTGGATCCAAGTTAATATATAAATATATACATTCATAGCTGTTGGTTAGGTTTGACATTTTGATTTTGGCACAGCCATCTAATATATATTTGCTGTCTGTGAAAAAAATAGAAATGTAGAAGAAAGGCATATCTGCACAAGCGTAAGGTGTTCGTATGTTGTAATAAATTGGATTATCTGAACAAAAATAATGATATAGAAGCAATATGTTTTATCTGTTTTATTGAGCAATAAAATAATATATTCTCTCATAATAACAGTTTCTTACATGCGCATTCAAGAATCCATCATAATCATGAATATTTGGCAAAGAACAACAATGAAAGAGTTACATTCATGTAAATATTCACAGCGCTCTTTAAATAAACTCTTTCATCCTGCCTGTACCAAAGGTCTTTTAATTCAATTCAAAATTTCTTGGAGGATCTTCAGTTCCTACTTGCTGCTTTTCAATGATCCATTTACTTACAGAACAATTGTTTGCACTTCTGTAATGGTGATTGTGTTGGCACTTTCATTGTGAACGCCAATGTTCAGATTCGCAACTCAACCTTGCGCATTCAAGCAAGCCTGCATTTTGGTCTACCACAGGAAGGAAAAATTGGTTTAACACCAATAAATACATTATGAGACAAAGGGCCACCCGTAATTTAATTTTCACATTTTAGTTACCTGCAAAGAGAAAAATGGGGGACAACCCAGCTAAAACTAAAGCATTTTGAAGTATATAAATGCCATTTATTTCAACAGGAGAATTAATCCTCCTCGTTTCCAATCCTAGACTTGTCACATGGTATGTTGAGACAAACAGGCAACTTCTGTCTACCTGTGTTGGAACGACTGAATTTGGACTGATTGTTATTTTCACCTTTTTGTACATAAGAACTACCTACCTTAAGAAGAGCAAAACTACTTGGTTTCTGTGTATATTGTTGGCATGCTTCTTGCCTGGAAACAATCCAGGACAGGAACATATGCAGAGCTGCAACATTCAATCTCCTCCAAGAGCTCTGTTTCTGCATCAAGAAGGAATGAATGATGCAATAAAATCCAACCCAGAGACCACCAAAATTTACTAATGCCAACAGAGTGCTAAAGGGCAGGAAACAAGGCTAGGACCATTAGTTCGTCCTTTGATAATATCATTGATTGATTTATTGCAGCACTCACGCTGCAAATTATTGTCCTAAACAATGAACATCTGCCTGGGTACAATACATGTATTTGAATAAATAAAAAAAGAATTTGGAAGCACTCAATTACAGACTTAAAAAGAAGCTTGAGAGTGACTTTGAATTTTTTAAAATATACTTTAGAGGCAATTGAGTTCAATGGGACATACTCCCATCTAAATATATATTAGATTGCAGCCCTAATCCTGCACTGAAATTAATCAGAAAAGCTTAACATTGGCTGTATCCATTCAGTAATACAGCTACAAAGAGTAGAATTATCTTAAAGCTGGATCTAACAAGCTGAACAGAAGTGTCTTAGGGCCAAACTAGATGTGGCAGCACCAATGCACTGCTTTTCACATCCACACCCCATTTACCCATAAAGCAGGGAGGTGAAGAGTATTACTTTTAACAGTAAAAGGGGTGCATGAGTAGGAGGCATTGGCCCTTCCTTTCTGTCCATTTCTCCAGGCATGGCCCCAATCCACTTCAAGTTTTAGAGGTGGAAAGGCACCTCAAGCAACAGACTGCTGGGAGAGTTGGCATGGGACTGTGCCAACTCAGTGGTCACGACCGTGGTTCAGTGGTCACGACCGTGATCTGTATGTAGAAGGTCTCGGGTACAGAGATGGCTAGGAAAAACTTGGGACTCTGCAAAGCTGAGGCCCTGCAAAGCTGCTGCCAATCAGTGTTGACGATATTGAGCTTGCTGAGCCAATAGTCTGACTCAGTGCAAGACAACTTCCTATACAAGAAGCAGAGGTGTCCTGAGGGCTCTTCCTGCTCTTAAAATATCTCAGTATTATATGTGCATGGCACGGACAAGTGACTGATGGGCCCATCACTTCTAGCTTGGAGCACAGAAACGTCACTGAGCAAACGGCAGTGGTGCAGTGGAGCTAGGCAGGGCTTGTGCAGATGAATGCCAGCACTTCCTTACTGGCAGGAATGCTGACATCAGCTGCCACCCTTGAGAGCTTAGCTGTAATTCTCACACTGGCTGGGAGCAGCACATGAATCTTCCCAGCACCAATATATTATTCCTTCATGTAATATAAAGTATTTCAGAGGAACTTGGTCTTGAATGGGCAATAATGACCTCTTCATTTTACAAAAGATCTGCTCCTGCTCCTGATCCTGACAGATGAAAACTCTAGATCTAGTTTGTAGAAATGGGCCAGTAAAACTGTCCCCCTTTTTGCACTCCGTGTGTGTGTGGGTGTGTGTGCGAGCGCACATGCACGCATGCAGAGAAGGTAGCTATGATTGCCTGCACATCTAGATTTACTAGTACCCCATTGGTAAAGGGGCCATAAAGTGCCCTTAGATGCTGTGTTTTTTCTTATGTTTTCATGTTTCTTTTAACTTCTGTATAGCTAGAACAATCATTTCAAAAAGTCCAGCTCCATGTTTGTGATTGCATCACCCATAAAACATATGGCACTGTGTGTTGTTTCCCCTGCATCATTTATTTGCTGCTGCTCTTCCAGTCCCCCAAATCGGCAAAAGCTCCTTCCAACTCCAGCTCCCTTCATTTTGTTCCTTTGGACAAAAGCAAGTGTCATTCACATGCATTATGTATTATGCTTCTACATAATCCATAGCCAGCACGAACACGATCTTGCAAGAGATCAAGACTCTTTTAAAACAGCTGCAAATCTACTTGTTATCATTATATTTGAGTTGAGTGCTCTAAATGGTAGAAAGTTAGCTGATGGACAATAAAGATTAGGCCATTTTTTATTTCCTTTTTTGAAAAGTGTAATGGAAGTTTGGGGCTCCGTTTTGGAAGAAAGGATATTTTGATGCCATCCAGTCTAAAGTCACAATCCTGCCCACAGCAGGGCTGCTTAAATCTTTTCAACTACATTAGGGCAGTAATCCTGTGTCCACTTACCAGGGAGTAAGGCCCACTGAACATAACAGTACTTAACCCCAAGTAGACATACATAGTGTGTTCAGTTGCATAGTATCATAGAATCGTAGAGTTGGAAGCGGCCTAGCAGGGCCCAACTGCCTGCTCAGTGCAGGACCCAAGTCACCCCTCCAGCTTTCAAACAGGCTCAACCGTACTTAGCTTCCAAGATTAGGCTGGATCAGGCACTTGTGGCCATGCAGGCTGACACTGTGCATGCTAACAGAAAAGTAAGACCCAGTGAGTTCAGTGTGACTTAATGCCAAGGAAATATGCGTAGGATTGCAACTTTCATTTGCAAAGTTAAGAATAATTTTAGTCCCTTATATTATACCCACTCATAATGCATATTATTATGAATGTACTGCGGGTGCAAGCCAAGGATATCAGACTTTGTATTTCCTAACCCTTATCACCATCCATAAAATGAATATTTTATGTAGGAATTGCAGAATTGAGATGGTTAAGTGTTTCTCTGAAATACTTATATCTATGAAAGTTCCAATAGTATTTTATGTTCTACAATTCATAGCACATTCAGCATTCAATTAATCACAAAACATGTTTTGGAAATAATATATGCTGTACAAAGTCTCTTTTTCTGAAGGTACACAGATTGTATTTCTTACACATTACCATTTCCTTTGCTGAAGATCTAATGTCTTTAAAATTATTCATTATAAAATCTGAAGAAAACATCCATTTGAAAGTCTTATACATAGGCCAATGTCAGCGAGGATTTAGCCATTTGATTGGGGAGTGAATCGCTTTTTCTTTGACAAATTCCTCATTAACAGAGTTACCATCACCAGATCCCATATAATTTTCTGTAAGTTTGAGAGAGAAGGAGAGAGAGCATGAGAGAGAGAGAGATCTTTTTATTAAATTATTTACCCCTCAACCTGTGTGCCTTGGTCTCTAACAGCCAAGATGACACCATCCAGATGGTTTGAAATGCAACTTCCACCAAATGAAACCAGCTGCCCAGTGCCCCATGCCCAATCTTTTTCTGAAGTAATGACTACTCTTCTGGACTGAATCTGAGCCAAGGATCAGTAATGGAGCTTTTAAGTTTCCTTTTGTCCAGATTCAGTCCTGAAATGAGGCAAGGAGACATGGAACAGCCTTCCCCAACCTGGTGATCTCCAGATGTTTGGAACTTCAACTTTCATCAGTCTCAGACAGCAAGTTCAATGGCCAAGACTGAACCTATTTGCTGTGCATTCATCTCTTTAAATGATGTGAAACTGGACCCAAATGAATCTCACATGACAGCAGGATACAGCTGAACAAATGCACTTGGAAAGTGCACTTGGAAAGTGCATTATGAGAAGAGCTTGCAAATCATTTTGGTGTAAGGCAGGAAACAAGGTGACTGTATTCATTTCTCATTTCTGACCCATATCTCCTTATCCACCCTGTACAAGCTACATAACCTCTTGTGCGTTGCTTATATTCTGGAGGTAATACCAGATGGCAAAGATGAGCTCCCCATTCTGGCCAGCCTTGGAGATGCCTGCAGTGAGCACCCCTTTCTCCTCAGTGCACCTTCCTCCTGTTTATGCACAGGGTGGCTGGGCTGCCAAGTCTCATTTGCACCTTTCCTCAGAGTTGGCAGCAGCTGCTGCTGCTGCTGGCGGTGTTCCTCATGGCCAGCATTCCCAGCGTTCCCTCTGGCTTTTCAATTCACTTCCTCTGGCAAGAAGGAAGAGCGTGCCACCCAAATGACTGCCACTGGCCTCCCAACCAGTCCGTTCCTCTGGGTGCGGTGCGATGCCAGCAGCTGTGGTCACTGCCACTGCCATTCCTGCGGTCCCATGCAAGGAAGCAGGGCCTAGAAAAGAGAACGGCTGCTTCTCCAGCTTGTGTCTGGCAAATTGACCAGAAAAGAAGGAAACTGGAAGGGCAAAAGAGGAAACTGGCAACAGTGTCAGCTGTTTGGGAGGGGAGTCGTAGCCACCACTGCTATGGAGGTGTGTTGGGAGCCAATGGGCCCCTTGCTGAGGCATGGTTTTTTGGAGAAACCTATCATCTGATCCTCGGCTAACCATAACACTATCACAACTAAAACATGGAATGAATTTCGCTTTCCTTACTGTCCAAAATATTATCAGAAAAACCAGGGATGATGTATACATGCCTTTCAAATATTCAACCTTACAAAAATTTGCTACTATTATAACTCAGATAGTATCCAGATATGTCATTCTGCCAGCACAGATGTTGCTGCATTCTGGAGTTGGATTATGAACTATCTTCAAGGAGGGAATCCAGCTAAAACTCCACTTGTTCAATTGCTTGCACAAGAGGTTGCACAACCACGTTCATAAGTGGGTATATGTTCTGCTGGCAGAAAATGTGCTAGTGCAATGCTTAAATGTGCTAGTGCAATGCTTGCACATTTCAACAATCCAGCAGAACTCTGCTAGTGGTATTTACATTTGCAGAATTATATTGTTGAAATGGCACAATAATGTAACACAATGAATGAGCTTGTATACATGCAACACCTTATTTCTAAACCTGCAAAAATATAACTGAAGATAATGACCCACTTAGTCATCCATGCTCAGTGTATAAGACCTCATATGAAAGATCAAATGGCAACTCTGGCTCACCGATTTAGGCGCTTCCCCTGAGGATAAATCTCCTAACTATTTTATTTATTTATTTATTTATTTAGAATATTTATATGCCATCCTTTCACAAAGCCTCAAGATGGCTTACATAAATAAATAAGAATAATAATATAAAACATAATACAAATAACATTTATTTGTAGATTAATAACTAGATTAATACATGTTCATACAGATGTTCCAGTATACACAAACATCTGAATAATGGGAGAATAGATTTTGTGAGCAGAAAATCCTGCCACGTACACAGAATCATCTCTAGCAATGAAATGAATAGGGCAGCTTCTGGTTATAAAGAGCTCTGCTTCTGTATCAGAGTCCTTGGAACTCCCAATCAGGATAGAATACATTAAGTCTGCCATTCATTGTGAAAATGGAGGATTAAATTCCAGATTGGATCCAGCATTTATGCTGCTCCTGTGGAAAGATACCGCTTGCAGAATTTGGCTCCTCCATCCTGCTGCCTGCCCTCTGACCTGTTCCAGGTGATTCCCTGACCATCTGATTTGAGGGGTGAATGTTGGGGGCTGCAGGGGGAAGGAGAGGATTCAGAAATTCCACTCGATGAACAGTGCCCTTTTAATGGGTGCAACAGCTAACTGGATATTGGCCCATGGATACAACCTCTAATATTTTTAAGTTTTCATCTCTGCATTTACATTTTATTTATAAAGCAGTTAAAGGCTGCTTTTCAGACCTAAAAAGGGCTCCCGAGGTGACTCACGTTTTCATCCTTCATAAGTTTGACTGCACTTGTATTAGACACAAAAAGATCTCCCATTGATTTCAATATGAATAAAGTTCAACAAAGGCTGGGTCCAACCTAGACTTGTAATGGATATAATTCAGTCTCTGATAAAATCAGAAACAACCCTCCACTTGTCTCTTTCAATAGACTAAGCATCAAATTTGCAAAGTGGTTTCAAGAGGAATAGCTCTGTTGATTTCTTGGGACAAAAATGACAAAGAGACTTGTGGCACCTTAAAGACAAATGAATTAATTTGGGTATGAGGCTTTTATGAATTAAAACCTACTTTGCGTGCACCAGCGCATGCATCTGATCCAACTCTGGTCCATTTAAGCAAATACCACAATAACTCTCTGAACTGCATGACTCTCTTCTCTTCCAGGATGACTGTCAGTCCTTACATGCAATATCTGAATGCATCAGTGAAGCATTTTAAAAATGTACCTGGGCTCAGATGAAGTTCTTTAATTGCACTAAGTATAATTACCCTTGCCAGAAAAGGAACGATAAGTTACTACGGATTTTCAGCATCGTTCGTGAACGTGGACCTGTTTTACAGGATGGTGTTACTAGCTTGATGGCTGCCCAGAGAAAATGCTGCTAAGAGGTGGCTTTTAAACACATGTAAATCCCCTTCAAGTAAGATTTATGCTCCCGTTCATTCAGTGCCATGTATGAAGGCACTGTGCATGTTAAAAATCAACGCTATCAGATTTACCTGTATGTGGGAGTAATTTTCGCCTGTTGGGAGGTTTTGATGCAGCCAGTTGGAAAAATGAAAACTTTACACACTTCCCAGTTATTCTGTCACAAATGCCAGACTGGCAATTGCATGTTCTTCGGCATTCTAATCCATAGGTGCCATAGGGACACTCTGCAAGACAGCAGATGAAATAGCAGTACATGTTATGAATGGAGATCCCAAATACTGAAGTCTCATTATTCACCCATAATTTACCTACTTTAGGCTACAGCCCTATTGGCATCTCCCTGGAAGTAAGCTGCATTGAACACATAGGTAAACATGCATAGGTCTATGTGCAATTCTTTCTACTCATATATAAGCCCAATTGGGTTTAGTGGAACTTATTGTCAGGTGAGTATAGGATTATAGTCTTTATATTTACATATTCCCAATGAAACAAACTGCAAAGTCAATGATATTGGTATTCATGTGAATATTGCCATACATTCTCCGTCACTGCAAAGAAACAAAGAAATATTGGGGGCGGGGGGCATAGAAACACAGAAGGGACCTCCCAAGCCATCTAGTGTGACTCCCGGCTCCAACTGGCTCCACTCATGACACACCTACCATGTGCATGTCAAGATTTCCACACCTCCCAGTCAGGGAATCGAACCCTGGTCTCCAGCGTGACGGGTGGGGATACACACCACTATACTAATGAGCTAAGCATCATTATATGGGGATGACTGGGTATTATAAGGCTTCTTTCTTTTTATAATCTCCTACTTTCTAAAACTCTGTTCTTCTTGTTGCTCTTTTTGATAATTTTACATGTTTTGGCTGTAGTACTCATTTGTTAATGTTTGGTGGATTTAAAAGAAAATAAAGATGTTTGTATTGCTAAACTTGTGATTTTTGTTGTTACTGCATTGACTGCCTATCTGAGGGTATAAAAGGCATTACATGTTTTAAAGTTAAATTAAATATATACTCCTTCCAGAAACATACAGATTGTAGTCTTTTAAATATGAGATTGGGAGGAACCAGAAGTGCTGGCTAGAGATTTAAAAAATGCTGAAAACATGCACCCTCTTCTTCATTATGGGAAGGATAATGATACATAATATCCAGGTTGATTTATTTGCACATGGTGATCTTTGTCAGTTCAGTTCAATTAGGTACTGGACTTTAATTAGGTGAATAAAAGAGTGGAGGGATGTGAAATACACCAAGCTTGAAGCCAAAAGTAGATTTTCTCTATTTTTAACTGATGTGTGCATGTGTCATTGCAGGCTTCATCTTAGAAGGGGACTCAAAGAGCCTCTAATTCAACCCCCTGTGCCGATGCAGGAACTGCTGTAGCACCTCTGTAGGCAAGTGATCATCCAGGTTATCCTTAAAAACTTCTAATGTAGTGGAATAGGGACTAAAAGAAAAAATATCTCCTTTAGTGCCCATGGAGGTTTTCTTACTTTCATTAGGCTTGGGGCAGGGCATTAGTTTTGGAGGGAAAGGTGGTTCACTGGGAAGTTTAAACCTCCGCTGCCCACCTGTGGTGACCCTCATTTGTATCAGCAACTCCCCTAAACTAGGACATGAAATGAACAACAGATGCTGAGGGTCTGCTGCAAGTTATGGATTTAATGTAGTGCATTATTTAGCCTTCAGCTGCAAAATAGCTTGGCCAGCCTTGAGTGCGATATACCTAGACTTGGGCAGAGGGTTGGGTGGGTGGGTGGGGGACACTGTTTGCTGCTCCATTTCAGGCAGCAAAATGTTTTGGGACAGCCTTGACATGCTCAAGTCCTGCAACCATGTTTGTTTCTCTGCACATAACACAGCACATCTTGAACAAGTGGCTTTTCTTCCTTGGCATTATCCTATACTCATCTGTGTGACTATCATCAGTGCTTTTATTTTCCAAAGACTTTTAGGAATGCTAAATTGCAAATTCAAGGGAAGCATATAGCTCTTTACCAGCAATGTTGTGACATTGAAGCTGAATACTGTGGGCACGCACTTCTAGGCTATTTTGGTTCTGTGATGTGACTAAAATAGTAAGTGAAAAAGCAAATACTAATGGTGGCTTTTTCTTCATTCTGTTTCTTATAATGCAAAGATAATAGCTTCAGTGATCAAAATGCCCATTTGAACAGAAAAATATCTCTTCCACTTACTAGTCATTAGCAATGACAGCACAATCATGTAAATTAAACAGGCTAAAGCAGTTTAGGTCATGCCTGTGAAACTACTCAGGTGCTTGAATGCGGCTAGGAAGTGTGCAGGTGCTTTACATTTATCCTAGCTGGATGATTGAAACTTCATAATTCCCCAGCCCATTCCAGACCTGCTCATAAGTAGTTCTGAAAATGAGCAGGAGTCTGACCAATCAGCTATTTGGGAAGAGGTGAGGACAGCTGCATTTATCCGTACAGACACACCCTAGGCACCCTTCCCTGTATCCACCAGGACAGCCGATTAGCAGCTTATTTTACCACATTGGTTGTGTAAACTGTCGGATAGAAGCCTGAGCCTGCAATATCCTATGCATACTAACTAGCAAGTAAACAAGGAGAACCTACAACACCGTGTTGCAGCAGCAAATGCTTCTCTTCCATTCCTCATCCTACCACCACACCAACAGTCCCTCAGCATCCTGTACCCAACAAGCATGTTCAGCCATTATTAGGCTGTTTTCCCTGAAGTGTAATGGATTCCCTAGGACTGTAGGTGTGTCTCTTTTGTGCATGGATATACCATTTTGGCTGCCTACGGATGGGCACTTACGGCATGAGTCTATTATTATTATATGATTATATGGAGTAGTTAGGATTAGAATGGCATCTGCTCAGTGATAATACAGACACTAATGTTCTATTGTGTACTCTAGAACTTTATGTTCTCAGGAAAGTACATCTGTAAGTTCCTGTTAAAAATTATCCCGAGCATTTCAAAAGCATTAATAAATGAAAGGCTACTATGATACCTCTGTAGCAAGGACTGGAAGATGGAGAAATACAATAAGCAACTCAGTTGCATGCACATTTACACAGAAGCAAGCAACAGAATCCTGGAGTTGGACAGGACCTTGGAAGTCATCTGGAGCAGCCTTTCCTAACTTGATGTGCTCAAGATGTGTTGGCCTGCAACTCCTGCCATCAGCAGAGGTCATCCAAGACATCCAGAGGGGCATCAGACAAAGGACATCTGATTCAGTAACATTAGTTTCCAAAGTGTTCCTAGGACTGCCACCTTAGAGAGACAGTATGGCCCAATAACTTGTGCCAAGGGATGCTTCTCATTAACCACTAAAGGTAGGGAAGCATCTCCTCCCTAGGCATAAGCTGGTTTGCCTGAGCTCCAGATGAGTTGGATCAGGAACCCACTGATAATCATGTCTTTCTTGGTAGCCTTTTGAAGAATCCACACTTATTCTCTTCTACTGCCAGGAGCAGTAAAGACATGTACAGTGTTGAATTTGAGGCACCTAAGAGCTGATGTACACATTAAGCAAAATAAATTGGAAGCCTGGATTGGACCATTGCATTGTAGACTGCAATGGGGAATTACCTTTCTGAATGCTTCATCCTCATAAACACATTTTTAAAGTAAAAATAAAAGCAAAAACCTACCTTTAAAATGGTGTAAAAGTAAGGCACTATGCACATTAAAGATCTAAATAATTTTATAAATGTTCCCCATTTCAGTGGAGTTTTCCCCATGCCAGGATGATTCATATGCTAAGTGGGGCTAAGACATTTCTGGGAACCATCCCTATCTCCATCCTACATGAGGCATTACTGTAATCACCACCACTGCAGGTCCTTTATCCATTGCCCATTTATTTACCTTTGCAGATACCAAACTCATCCCCAAAATCATCCTCTTCAGAAAAGAACTGGCACTTCAGACCGGGGCCACATTTGACTCCATCCATACCAGCAACTGTCCGGTAGCAAGTCTCCCCCAAGGCGGCAGCACACACCCGGCAGCAGCCGCAGTCATCCAGCACAGTCCGCTTGCAGTGCAGAGGGCTTTTGCATTCGCTGCTGTCGCAGGATTCTGGGCAATCGACGGCATAATTGGTGCTCCAGGTAGCCACAGCAACATGCACGGGTACCAGAAGCAGAGTGAGGACCAGAAAAGACTCCATGTCTCTCAGTGATAGAAGCGAAATTCCACCCAAAGAGCAGGTTGCAAAATTCGGTCCTGGGGTCTTCTGCTCTGGGATGCAGCAGTGAGGAACCCAAAGTAGTAGCTGAAGATCAGCTGACGGGTTTTTAGCTTTATACAGCCTATTGCCCACAAGGCCTGCCGGCGTCAATTTCCTCAATCTGTCCCCTTGCCAGCCTCCCTTGTTTTACTTTGCGAAATCCAGGATGAAGGTTGGATTAGCACGCTGCTGCCATCCAGGAATTGAAAAGCCTGAGCTGATGTAATCTGTTATGTTTAGTTGGGTTGTTTTCCAATGAGGACTGAAAATTCTCTCACATCCGTCTCAAACACTCAAGGACATCTGCCAGAAAGCACACCGGGGATGGGGGGATGGGGTTGGCGGCGGGGGGAGAGCAGTAGTAGGTTACATACCTTTCTTCAGGACAAGAGTTGTTCTAGTGTTGGCTCTATCCCTTTGCAAATTACAGTTTTACTCCCACAAAAGGAGCTCCGAAAGTCAGGAAGCAAGATCGTATATCTAAGCATACAGCTGCTGCATTCACCCCAGTTTTCTAAGCCTTGGTAATAAAGGAATACATTGTGACTCTGAAGAGTAGGGGACAAAGCACCACTAATTTTAAAGCTAAAGGAAAGTATAGTTTGAAGCAAAAGGATCTTGTCAATATTTAGTCAGGTAGATAACAGAGGTACTGCATTCAAGGAGAAATGCCAAAGACAATAAAGTGAGACAGATCTCAGGATTTTGTGGTTTCATCTTCAGATATCTCAGACTATTATCAGTTCAGTACATTTCAGCTGACTTGCCCTTCCCAGAGGCAGAACCTCAAGCAAGGTTCTTGTTCTCTACTAAGGCTTGAAGGAATCTGAAGGAGTCTTTCCTCAATAGTACAAGCCCAAGTAAGGCATCCTTCTTCAGAAAGAATGCAATCAAGACATTTTCTATGCTCTACTGGTTAAATCAAGGGGAAATGCTCACATTTTGAACTGTATTCAAGCAAGCAAAGCTATTACAAGGGTGGGCCAACAAAGTCCCTGCTCAAACCAAGGAAACAGAAGAGGGTTAGGAAGGTTAGGAATAGGGTATGGAGCTGCTGCTATCATCCCAGCTTTTCATGCCTAGGAAAGCCTCTCCTTCCCCCACCCAACATCTGTACATGGCATGTGGATGTTTGTAAAGGAACTGTAAGGACTTATGTGTTGAAGGAGGGGTAGAGCTGGTAACTTATGAGATATCCAAAGATGAAACCATGTGCGTCCTGGGCAGTCCCATTACACTGAGGTGAAAAAACTCCGAACTTCCCATGCTCACGGATGGATATGTTGACTGACCAGGATCGTGGAATTGTGCTCAATAACTCAAGCAGAACATTGATCCACTGTGTGGCTGTTGTGAAAAAGGCAAATTCCATGTTGGGGATAATTAGGAATGGAAGTGAAAACTCCCAGGACTGCAACGACTATTTAAATGCATTCCACAGTTGGAATACTGTGTACAGTTCTGGTCATGTCCTTCTCTTGCTGTGCCCTTTGGGACATCAGTTTGGCAACTGTAGGAACAGAAAATCTGGTCTAGGAGGACCTTTGTTCTGATCCAGTACGGGACTGCTTATGTTCTATCAGTAAAGAACATGATGTGGCATGCAAAGGAGCTCCCTTATAGAAACAGAGTAGAACGACTTACCAAAGGTCCCAGTGTGGAGCTCCAGGCTTCCGCAGACAGCCGTGCCGCATTCCCTTGGCCCAACCACCTTCACTCGTCCACTGAGTGGTGGGTCTTAATTCCTGGTGCAGCTTTACCCCATCCTATAAGTTAAAATGCCTCTTTGAAGGCCTGGTTAATGTCAGAAATAATTTGAAGCTAAAACATGCCAGTATGTTGGCCTTGTCACTTTGCCCTTGGCTCTGCCCACTGCTGGAATGCAGCCCCTAATAGCTTTTCCAAAATAGGATTCCTCCTCTGGGGGTTGAAAGGGGTCCGATGCTCTTGCATCCACACTCTGCCTGTGGACATCAGAGGAGAAGCTTGCCCACACATGTGACACTGATGGGGGGCCGGCTGTATAGCCCTGCTCCTACTTCAATGTGGGAGTGCCCCACATCTGTGTGACATGCAGACAGGGTTGTTATCCACCCCAGTTAGGAGGAAAATCTTCAGGCAGTACTGGATACTCTTGAAATTAACATTCTGCATTGCAGAGGAATTTGGCAGCAGAAACAAGTGGATTTTGGCATGTTACAGAGAGCGATTTCTTGCAAAGCTTCCACAAAAATGACAGAGAGCTTAAGAGCTGAGGAACATTAAAGGCAAAAACATTTCAGAGATTCTGTGGGTAGTCATGATCATGAGCCTGGTATTTTTGAAGTCTGAAGATTCCTATGAAAGTGCAAGAACAACTAACTGATCCCAAATGTGGCAACCTTAAAATAACTTTCAGCTTTCATTTTTGTCAAGTAATTCATCATGGCTGCAAAGAGAGCAGAAAGAATATTGGAAACAATTTGGAATGGTGGTGATGACTCAGAAAATGTAATTTGTTCTCCCATCCCTTGGCAGCTCCTACGGGCCCACCCAGCTGTCACACCCTTCTTCTCCCCCTGTTCTTTTCTGCCATTCATTTCCTTCCCAAACATTCCAAACATACTTAAAAACCCAAACCATATTACAAGGGATGGCAATTGGAATATGGGCAAAATAAGATTCTGTTTATCTACTTCATTCTGATCCCAGAATGCATGCTTCTGCACTTCCCAAGTTGGAGAAGCCTGAGTTTGTTTGGTGCAATATGTGTATGCTTTGGGTTTAAGTGTTACATAATCGATTTAAAGTGCTACCACATGAAAATGAGTCATGGTCCAGGGCACCAACCATTTGTTCTGAGGATGAGGTTCTTGAGTGGGCAGATCAAGAAAAGGACTCAGTTACAGAAGGCTTCATGAGGTTCCCAGCTCCTTAATGGCTCTTTTTCCGGGAGGGCTGCAGGGACCAGCTTTGCCATAGCTTTTCCTTCTCATCATAGCCTGAGGTTGCTGGAACAGCCCATGGCCCTTTAAGGGAGAAAGTGCCACTCAATAGGGAGGAGGGTCTAACTGACCTAAACAAAGTCAAAACCACACTTAAGGCCCAGTCACAGTACGCAGTTGTTGGGGCTGTATAGCAGCGTTTGTCTCACATCAAGCCTGGCATCTTTATGAACTCTGTGGTGCTGCTGCTTTGTTTCTTGTCTCACTGGGAAAGCTTTACCAAAATTCACAGAACCTGAAGCTGGTGTGGTGCAGTGGGAAGAGTGCTGGAATGGGAGTCAGTCCCTACTCAGCCATGAATCTCACTGAGTGACTTTGAGTCAGGCCCTGGTTTGCAACCTAACCTAACTCACCGTGTTGTTCTGAGAAAAAACTCAAAGGAGGAAGCCTAGTTAAGCCAACATGGGTTCTTTCAAAGAAATAAATATATAAAGGTAATAAAGGATATGAAGGTAATAAAGAAACCTGACTTGTCCTTTGTTCTGGATGTGAACTGGACTTCATGTGGCCCAAAGGTGTCACGCCCTCACTATGACAACAAGGCTTCCTAGCCAAAATAAAATGGGGCAACTTTCAAAGACTTCATTTGGCCAAAATTGCTTCCACAGGATGCAGGACTAACCTCAGGCTATCCTTATAATGTATATTCCCACAGACACACAGAGAATAACACAAGTAAATTTACCTATCATGGAGGCAACCTAGGTAATTTAGCGGGGACTTCTGTAACCATACAACAGCTTGGTTGCTAGCCTGATGTCACCAGTGTAGATGGGCAGACTGGCTCACTATATTCTGTATGTGCAGAGGTAGAAAAGGTAAGTGGCATTTTGTGGGGCTGAGTTTCATCGCACAGGCTACCCTTAGGCTGAGGAAGTCCCATTTGAAGCACCACCTTTCAAACAGCTCATGGTGGAACACATTTGAACTGGCCCATATTTGCTTTCCACATTTGTGGGACTGCCATTGGTCTTATAGTCAAACCATGTTCACATGTACCACTGAATTGTTACCTACGGACAGGACTTCATACAATTGGCAACTTCTCCAATTTTATGTGACATGCTGACTAGAAAGGATAACATCTCAGTAGGAAACAGTGCAGCCGCTATGTGGAAGCACCAGTTCAGACGAATGATGTCTTCATGAGCACAGCACAACTGCAGGGGCAGTGGAATTCAGGTATGCCCCAGATGCGCTGAAAGGGGTATGATGGCCACTTATTCATCACCCCAAAAGAGGAAATGCATAATAAAAAACAGATTTGCAAAACAGTTACAGTGAGATAGATTCATGCACATACGCAGATTTCAGGGCAACATAATTTCCAAAGAAATGCACCTCACCACAGCTGCTCTGCTATGCACCTGCTCGGTCTACTATCCAGGAACTAACTGTTGGTTGGCAATTTCAAGGCTCCTGCTGCTCTCCCTTCTTATGGTCATTTATCCAAAAAACAGACTTGGACTGGGCAGCCTATAAAATAGAGGACATCTTCAAAGAAAGGACACATGACTTTCATAAGTTGTCAGCAACTGTGAGTTGTGTTACAGAATATATGAATATAAAATGAAAGGTATTAGGGCAATGTACGAAATTACACAGCAATCCTTTTATACATATATATATAAAATATGAGTATATATGAACAACTTTCTGTTAAGCATAAGCATTTTGTTCCAACACTCTTTCATAAATATATTTAGGAAGTATTAATAGTATACAATACCAAACAATACTTGACAGGATGAAAGACACTGCTGGTACTTTTGCATTTCCTCAAGGAAAATATCCTGACCTGAAGTGATAAAAACAGAAGCGTTAAACAGTCATAAAAGAACAAAGCCTCTAAGAATAAAAATCAGAAAAATCCACATGAAGTTCAGCAGCAAACCCATCTGGAAAAACATTAGCAGTATTTAAAATGGACAGCTACCCATAATTCAAGTTTATAGA